CCAAAAATCCTTCGGTATAGAGGAATTTCAGGAGTAGCCTGAAACTCCATCTTCTCACTGCTAAGCCCCGCCTTCTTCGAAAAGTTGCATTTTTGTCACAATGGGGTACAATACGTCCTATATCTTTTGAAAGTAAATTGCTTGTGTCATAATACCTTTTTAAAATTGTTTTCAACTAGGGTGGTGTGATTTCATATATTCCAGGTCTATAGTCATCAGTGAGCTTGTTTAGAAAGCTGGGCATGAAGTGCTTACCTCCCTTCAGCTTCTTTTTATGCCTCTCCTCCACACTTGGAACTAATAGCCAAGCCTTTTGAGGCATGAATTAAGCACGATTGTGGTTTAGTACTTTTTTCGGAAAGGAACTGAATTCAAAGCTAACTGATAAAAGCTGAAAGTTACTAAAATTAGTTAGTTGTTTCAATAAATAACTGAAGGTTGCTACAGCTGGTTGGCTGAACAGTTTGATATTTCTTTAAACATACTATTGCAAGCTTGCAACTCCACCCAATTCCACATTGGCTAGAGTATTTTTTTAGCCAGTAAGGACAGCAGAAGTCATTAATCTTGCTACTATGACAGAAAGTAGTTACAAATAAGGAAATTAGTTTTTAATGACAGCATACAATTCTGCTTGTTTAAAAGCTGATGGATAATCCAAATACAGTTGGACTGTTATCATATGATCCAATCATCATATGATACATATTGTATTCAGCATGGTTCCCAACATTTATATTCTGTTCAGAATTTAACTTCAGTGATGAATGCGGAAAACATGGCATCTAGAAAGCTCAATTTCCTATCCTGCAACGCAAATGTCATGGAATCAGTTTCGCATCAATAAACTTGTTAAAGCTGAACACTACATGTTCAATGATAGAGAAATGCATGTCTTTAAATTTCATTAAATACACACATTATAAAGGTTCTTACATTAAAACATAATGCTTAATAGGATGGAGTGTACTAACATTTGCACTGATTTTAATTCAAAGCTTGTTCAAAGCAAAGAACAACCAAAGTATATTGATACGGTTTAAAATATAAAGGAGCACTGAAATATCTTGTATGATGGAATATTTTTTAATAACAATTTTCTTCTACTCATCTGATCTAGGTGTGTTCACAAGTAAGAGAGTATACAAATGCTCTTTACCAATGATCATCTCCTTTTAGTGTTTGATGCTTCTATTACATTATTTACATTAACCAGATGTTCAGTACTATAAGCACTCTATTGTTTAAAGTGATATACTAACTGATAAATGATGTCAAATCATTGATACACAGTTTCAAAGTTTATTATTATTTCATTAAATATGCAATACCACTGTAACAAGGTTTAATACTTCAAAGTATTATGATTACAAAAAATAAGAAATCAGTTACAGTTTGAAATGTAGCAGATATTTGTATAGATGATCAGTCATATGTTCTTTGCCACAGTCTACATACATTTTTTTTTCTGTGAAAGAACCAATAACAACCAAAATATAGAAAGAACTGTCCTCTTCTTTTGAGGATTCCGTATACAATACATATTTTGAATTATTTATATCAAAGTACACAATACATATTTTCTCTTTCTGGTTGCATTTTTTTGTTTATATAGTATTTCTATCAACAATAAAAAAATTCAAAGAGCTTTCACATATGGGATTTCTTGAGAAAATAATGGTAAATATACTATATAAATCAGCCTGTA